CCTAAGGAAAAATATCTTGGTAGAAGTTTCATTTCTCTATATATCTAATATTTCAAAATCTATTTATTTTCATAGAGATTCCATCTATTATATCTTTTTAACTTTAGAACACGTCTATTCATTTTTATCGTATCTTTTTAGCAAAAACATATTTAAAAAATATATTTTTTTAACCCCTCTCGCATTCTCTTCGTGTTTTTTTTTCCCTATGATTCTGCCAAACATCTCTCTCTCTTTATGTTGCTCCCAACTTTTTCTCTCTCATCGTCTCTATGCCAAATTTTGAGAGAGGGAGAGGGTTTGGGAGATTCATTGGAAAGTGAGAAAGAAAAACATATGGCGAGAGAAAGAGAGAGAGGGTTTAGAAATGATGTCATTTATAAATTTGTTTAAAGTAAAAGTTAGCAACGTTAATTTAGGGGATTAAAAATATAGGTTTGAAACCTTGGGTTGGGAAATGAAACCTAGGAGGAGAAATTTTCCTAAAACCTAAACCAAACTTGGAGAAATAAGGGATAGGACGAAAATGGAATAAGACAAGGATGACACCTTAAAGGCGAGAGAGAAAGGGAGTTTAAATTTGAGGCCATACGCATGAGTTTTACCGTTTCTCATTGGATGCCGTGAACAAGCAGATTGAGTGAAGTTTTGCCTGCCATGAAAATGGGAAGAGTGGTGAGATCTCCATCTTTTTTCTTTTTTCTCCCATTCATTTTAGCTCTTTTGTTACAATCCTTGGGTTTCTCAATGGCTAATTTAGAAGCTGAAGCACTGTTGAACTGGAAAACTAGTATGAAAAGTCACACTTTGGGCTCTTGGTTTCTTACAACCAGCAACTCCACCAGCCACTGTAGCTGGATTGGTATCATATGCGACAATGGCGGAAGCGTAATTGAGGTTAACCTCTCAAATTACTATTTGGAAGGGACCCTCAATCAACTGAACTTCCTCTCGTTGCCTCATTTGGCCAGTTTAAATCTCAATGCGAACTATTTAGAAGGGAAAATCCCAAAGAGTATTGGATCTCTTTCGAACCTCAGTTTCTTGGATTTAGGAGACAATTCCTTCACGGGGTCAGTACCTGAGGAGGTTGGCAATCTCACTGAGCTTCGCTTCATTTCTCTCCAATGGAACGATCTTAGTGGTCCCATCCCTTATCAGCTGGGTAATCTGCGGAAGGTACGACACTTAGACCTTAGTGGAAACGTATTTAACTGGTCAAGATTTACATGCATGGAGTCTCTTACTTACCTCTACCTATCTGATAGTGCTCTAACAGATTTCCCAGCCTTTGTTTTCCGATGCAAAAACTTGGTACTTCTTGATTTGTCTCTCAATGGACTATCCGGTCCGATCCCCATTCAAAAGCTTTCGAGTTTGAAAAACCTCAAGGTCCTCAACTTCAGAAACAATTCATTTCAAGGTCACATTCCTGCTGAACTTCTGAATCTAACGAAACTTCAAGTCCTTCGACTCTCTGAAAATAATCTCACAGGTTTCATTCCTCATGAAATTGGCTTCATCTTTGGGCTCCATAAACTAGACTTGAGTTATAACCCATTACTGGGTGGACCCATCCCTGCGTCACTAGGCCAGCTTTGGGCTCTTGAGGAACTAAGCCTCTACCACTGTGGGTTGAACTCTGGCATTCCTGCACACTTGTTTCTCAATTGGACAACTCTCACTTTTTTGGATCTCAGTGAGAATGTACTCGAAGGACAAATCCCCTCTGGAATTACCCTTCTAAAAAACCTTAAGTTCCTAGACCTATCTTCAAATCAAATCTCTGGATTTCTCCCATCAAACATTGGAAACCTTTCCAAGCTGTCTATTCTGTATCTATATGGCAACAATCTCACGGGTTCCATCCCTTCCTCTATTGGAGAACTTTCCATGCTTAATAATTTGTACCTAAACAATAACTACCTCAAAGGCTCCATCCCTCCCTCCATTGGAAACCTTTCCAAGCTTCAATTTTTGGACCTATCTGAAAACAATCTTATGGGATCTCTTCCTCCTGAGATATGGAATCTTAATATCCATGATTCATATGGTTTTGAGATCCAATATATTCCGAGGCCCATTAATAAGCACCACATCTCAACCTCAAGGACTCCAAGTTTTCTACAACTACAACAACTTTTCTGGTAATACTACTGTGGATTTGGGACAGAAATTTGAAATGTTGAATATCAGCTCCTCAATTGATCTACGCCATCAGATTTGCCAAGGCATGAAATTATTGCCAGAATTGTTGAAGCATTGTACGAGCACGGTGACAATCCAAGTGGAAACATGCTATCTCACAATGAACACAACCATGACTTATGCCAAGCTTCCTAATTTAGGAAGTGTGGATCTCTCAAACAATCAATTTTCTGGTTGTATTCCAGAAAACATAGGAGAAGTCATGCCAAAGCTAATGGTCTTAGCTCTCTATAATAATAATATTTCGGGAACCATTCCCACCTCCATTGGAGACATGATAAGTTTGTATGCTCTTGATCTTTCTAGAAATAAGATCATGGGATCTATTCCCACCTATTTGAGTAATTTGGAAGATCTGCAATCATTGGTCCTGAGAAACAACAGACTATCAGGTGAGATTCCATCATTAAAAAATTGTTCCAAATTACAAATTTTGGATCTCAGTGAAAATCAATTATCTGGGTATATCCCGTCATGGATTGGCCAAAGTCTTACCTCACTTCGTGTTCTCTCTATAAGATCTAACAAGTTTACAGGGACCATTCCTAAGACTATGTCAATTCTATACTCTCTTCAAGTTTTGGATGCTGCTGAAAATTGCCTTTCAGGCACTATTCCAGATATTTTCATAAACTTCACAGCAATGACTATTACAGAGAAGATGGCGGACAACAACTACGATCGCAATCACATGTTCTATTATGTGGTGAGCATTGATATAGTAGCAAAAGGGGCAATGATGGATTATACCAACTTTCTTTCTCTTGTGACATGCATAGATCTTTCGAGAAATAATTTCTCAGGAAGGATTCCAGAATCATTGACAAAACTTATAGGCTTGCGTGTATTGAACCTTTCTAGGAACAACTTGATTGGGAAGATTCCACAAAAGATTAATCAATTGCAAGAGTTGGAATCGTTGGACTTGTCGGACAATCAACTCTCTGGTGCCATTCCTCTCAACATGTCATCTATGAGTTCCTTGGGCGCATTGAACTTGTCCTACAACAATTTGTCAGGTCTAGTTCCTTACGCTGGCCACATGATTACATTTGATGCCTCAACATATTATGGAAACGAAGATCTTTGCGGTCCTCCTCTTCCTAAGACGTGTGATAGTCATGAGTTAGTTCCTAGATTTAACAATGATGAGGATTTGAGAACTGGGCCACCGGAGGTCCGACAATTTTGGATCAGTGTGGGCTTGGGATTTGGGACTGGATTTGGAGGATGGTTCTCAATTCTAGCCATTAAAAGGAAATGGAACAATGCAGTTCTCAAAGTCATGGACTTCATTGTTGAGATTTTGATAACGAGATTGCAGCATTTCTTTGGCAGAAGAAATAGGTGTTGTTTATACAACCAGTTTTAGAAGATTAAAGTGAAGAAGAGTGTAAGAATATAGTATCGGGTGAATAATCTTATTAGGTGCTTGTACTGTTTGGATGTAAGCTTGTAGTCCAATATGTTCATGCCATTTGTGTTTTGTATGTCTTTCTTATGTTACAGAAGTACAGTGTAATTTTATTTAGCACGGAGCCAAAGATAAAACAAAAAATTAAAAATTGAACAGATAAACATCTACTAGAACTTGGGTTTTAGTTTTTAATGGTCCAAGTGCTTGTCTTGACCAAACGAGAGGTACTCCATTGGCGAAAACTAATGTCAAAATTCATGAAACACACAAAAAAATTAAGGCTTGTTTTGGAAGCCCATATAAATGGGACTGGTGGTCACAATTTCAATCTTTATTCTCTTTCTCCCCATTTATTTTGGGTCTTTTGATTCAATCCTCTCATTCATCATTAGACTCCCATGAGTTGTCGAACCAGAAAACTTGTCTTAAATATCACACTTTGGGTTCATGAGGTGTAAAGAGTCCACCGACGCGAGTTGGATGCCTAGCTTGTTGGTCGCCCAAAAACTACTACAAACCAAAAAATGTCACAAAATATAAGAGGGGTTCAGTTGGCATATGGATGCATCCGTAGCTGTAGAGGTAAGGTGCACCTTCAAATTTTATCATGGTATATAATTTTAGAAAAATATCTCTATATTCTTTATTTTTAGGTTTCATTTCTTGATAATATCTTCTAACCCCCTAGCCACTTTAAATTTATTTTTTAACCTAAATAACTGTAAGAAAAACATACTTTTTCTAAACCCAATAATTTCTTTCTCTTTACTTGTATATCCCAAACTTCTCTTTTTCTCTCTTTTCACTTAAATATCTCAAACTTCTATCTTTCTCTCTCTTCATGTGTTTCTTACTCTCTCTCTTTCTGTGTTTCTCCAAACACCTTTTTCTTCTCCCGATAACCTCTCACTGCCATGAATCTCTTCTCTCTCTAGAAGTTTGGGAGGATGGCTTTTAAAAAAAGTATGTCTTTTTAGATTTGTTTGGCCTAAAAATACAGATCTAAATGAGCTCAGGGGTTAGAAGAAATAAAATCTGTAATTTTTATGCCCCAAGATATTTTTTATATTTTTTAAAACCTTGGGTTCATTGTGAAATGAAACTTAAAACTAAGTGGCATAGATATATTTTCCCTATAATTTTGATGTAAAATATTTATCTCAAAAGCTATTTTTATATCTAATTATAAAATTTTAAATTTCAAAAATTGTTAAAGTCAAGTAGATCTATAAACATTTGAAATTCTTGAAAATGGACGGTGTACATAACATATTGTAAAATGCATTATTTATGAGACTTAAAATCTTTTTATTTTTCATGGTCACACATCTCATGTTCAGATGATCAAACAAAAGGTTTTTCAACATTGAAACCATCTTTTCCGATGGATTTTGTAGTTGTAGAGGTAAGGTTGCATCCTTATATAACCTTTTTCCATAAAGAAAATTATTTATTTATCCATTATTACAAAAATAATTTTAAGTTTCGTGTTATTACATTTATATTCGTTTTTTTAATTTCATTAACATTTTTTTTTTTTAAAAGACAAAGGGCTCGTTTTCGATTTTTCAAATACCGAAATGAATCTCTCTCGTGACGTGGGGGCTTCTGCAAATTCTTTCACGCTTTCAAGTTTCAAGTTTCCGTACCCCTTCCCATGTACTGTAACCTATTGGGTTCTTCTTCTTTTTATATCCCCATTAACCCCACTCTCTCTCTCTCTCTAAAAATTGCTCTTACAGGCTAGTGACCCAGTTTCCAGCACCATTTGTCACCAAAAAAACGATGGCACGACAACCAAACATATTAATAACTCCCTTAACCTTAGGCTTCACTCTCAATCCATGGCCCTCTTCTCTGGTAAAGCTTCCTCGTCTTCTTCTTTCTTCTTTTCTTATAAGAAGAAAAACCAATGCTGTTTTGAACTATAAAACAAAATAACAGAGAAGGTCAAAGTGATTCTCCCTGCGAATGACATAAATCTCATTTCTGCCTCCTTTCCAACAGAAAAGCCCTTTTTCCAGCAAAAAAACCCCATCAAATTCCAACCAAATGCCTCCAAATTAGGGCGAAAAGAAATCAGTCCTCAAAAAAATCCGGTCAAGGTCCCATCAAAATCCGGCCACAAATGCTATAACGAGCAAAATCTAGTCAAATCGGCCGGAAACGTCTTTTCCAACAAAAACAAGCTAATTCTTGGGCTTTATAACAAACCCTAGATCTGCAATTTCAAAGGCGCAATCCAAACCCTAGATCTCCATTAAGAGAGGGAGAGAGAAAACTAAAGAGAGAAAGTTTGTGTTGAAAAAGGATAAGGCCAAGTGCATTTCTCAGTGAACACCACTCCTCCGGGTCCTTGGCATCCCCCTCTCTCTCTCTCTCTCTCTCTATGAAACCCAAATCTCTCTGACCCATGACTTTGGGTGCTCTGGTTCTTCAACAAATGAGTTAGAGCAAGAGCGAGAGAGGCCACAACGCCATTGATGAGCGTAATAACCATAACTCGATGAGACCATGGGTGAGAACCTGGTTCTCAAAGAGCCCAACTCTGCGCACGGATTTTCAATAACTGAATTTGGATTTTTGAAAAGCCAAAAAATGAGCAGTTTCATCTTTTTTTAAAAAAAATTGTTATGAAATTAGACTGTTTTTAAAACATAGTTATGAAATTGAGAAATCAGATACACATGTAAAAACGGAAATTTAAAAATATTTTCATAATAACAGTAAAATAAAATAGATATATATATGTAATTTTCCTAAGATAATATATTAGTTTGAAATATGTTTTTAGATAATTTTTATTATCTTTATGATGATTTTCGAAATTTTATCTTTTTTTGAGTTTTATTACATTTTTGAGGTGTACATATCTTGGCTTAATTGAATCTAGTTGGACTCAGTCTAGTTACTAACCTCGGACAAGGAGCTTTAAAACAGTGGAATAAACTGTAGCTGGAGCAACCACTATGGAAGTAACTCATAATATCATAGTTAGCAAGTCTGTTTAAAACATGAATTTTTCAAACAATCACCAATTTTTTAAAATACATCTTAAACTCCAAGTTTTTCAAACGTTATGTTTTTTCAATGAAACCGATATAAATTTGTATTTTATCTTTTTTTCAAATAAATTTTTCAAAAAGAACTTCGTCCCTACCACTTTATTTTTTCTTCATTAGCTCAATATTATTGCATTTTGGCTTAAAGATGCATACATTAACAGTGCGAGTAAATTAATAATCTTAGTTTAACAAAAAATTACATAAAAAGTTTCACCAATGAGTTCCATCAAAAAAAATGTATGAAAAAATACAAACAATATATTCCTAAAGAGCAAGAGAAAGATTCAATTATACTAAAGATTTAGGCAGTTAGGAATTCAGTGCAAGATTCAAATTTTCTTTAGCATTTTGTTGTTGTTTTTTTGTGCATAAATAAGTTTAGTTAATTTTTTTTTAATTTTATTACTGTATACAACATAGTATTTTCGAAGGGCCACTATTTTACAAATTTGGGTCTTTGTATTTTCTTTCAATTAGGTGCAATCCTATTTTCTTCTTTGAAAAATAATTCTATGTCTTGGTTCACAGTTCTTGTTATTTGCTAATTAGTTATTGCGTTTAGTATTGTATGCTCTCAATAAATCTACGATATGTTTTGTAATGCGACAACAGTGTAAGCATTGCTACTATTTTTATTTAAAGTTTCAACAAAAAATTGTTAAGTATTACTCTAATGACACTAGCATGGCTATAAAATTATTGTATTTATATATACAATAGCAGCAAATCAAATCCTTATATATCCGATTTTTTCATTATGTTTACGATTCTGTAGTTTATCTTATTTTTTGGTGATACTTATTTTTTACTCAATTTTTTTTTCGATTTTCTGAAATAAAACTGATTTATTACCTATATTTTGGTTTGCTGATATTTTATTACTCCCCGATTTGCTAGCTAAGCTATATGTGGCTTGAACCGGACAATCCAATTCAAGCTAGAAACGGACGGGCGAACCAGTCTCAAGTCTGGTTTGACTCAACAAAGTAGCCCGGATTATCCAACCGAGAGTGGACCGGGGACCAAGTAGTCCATTGCATGGACCAGCCCGTGGGGTCCAATGCTAACAGGCCCGGTCCTGTACTTCCATGTAGTTTACCTATTATACGCTTTTATTTTATTGAAAATAACTATTCTAGCTTATTTCGTTTTGTGCTTTTTGAATGATACATGTTTTTTTTTCATAATTAATTAAAGAGAAGAATAGACCTTTAAAAAAAATTAGCTCCACCTTTCCCTTTCCAAAAGTTTTAATAACTTTCATTTTTATTTATTTCAAAGTTACTTCTTATTTTATTTAAATTATTTCAAATTTCTCTCCTGCTTTTTTTGGAGGGGGGGGAGGGGGTAATGGAGACTATGTTAGAGTAGGGTGTGGGGTGCTACCACCATGACCCAGCCCGTTTCTTGATTTTAAAATTCTCTCTTGAATTCAAAATAAACCTCATCTCGTTTTCAGAACTCGGAAATTTATTATTATTTTTAGTTTGAAAAAAAAAATTCTATGGTATCTTCAGTTTTAAAATTTTTTGTCAAACACGAAAAGTTTTTATTTTTCTTTTATTCTTAGCTTTTTATTTGAAATTAATAGCCATTTCCTCTTATTTTTTATGATTGATAGAATCAACCATAAAAATACTTTTGTAAGAATCAAATTCAAAGCTATCAGTAAAGGATGAGGTTCCTGTATGGCCTTAGGCTTTATGAAAAAAATAATAATAAAGCCCCATTTCAAATCATCATCCGGAATGCACTTACGGCAACGGAAATTTTCATAAATGACTCTAAAATCGCTTTTCAATGCCGATAATAAAATTTGAAGCTAAAAAAATGGTACAAATCTTATAGATCTATAAACATTTTTTTTTAAGACAAAATAAGTAATATAGATAATTGATACAATATACACTATTTTAAAAGCTTGAAATCCTAATTATTTTCACAACTATAATGATCTAGTCGAGATGATACATGTGAAGTTTTTCGAATGCTTGAACTATAATTTTTATGAGTTGTAAGGTGAGGTCTGAGTAAAGCCAGTCATAAAGAAGTGAGTGATGTGACGAGCGACGTGAGTCAAAGCCTCAAAGGAAATTTTCGCTGTACAAACTTGGAGACCTGATGACCTGTAAAGAAGTATGCAAAAAGAATTTAAAAAAATGCTGCTACGGGATTTGAACTTTTATTTATTTATTATGGATCCATTATACCCAAAATCTAGATCATTGACCTTTATATTTTGGATGCAAAATTCATTTCTAATATAGATTGTGAAGTCCAATAGATTTTAGAAGGGAAGGCCCCATGTAAACATGTGCATTGGTTGATGCACCAAAACCTCACATTTACATTAAAGAAAAATGGAAGAACTTTTATATATTATTTAATATAACTAATACACACACATGCACATACACACACTGATAAACATATCAAGATTGCAATTCCCACGACAAATTCATGAAAATGGCATCAGCGAACTTGAAATATGTATCCCTCCAGCGTTTTATGAAAGCCAAAACCAAACAAACACTAATATTCTCAACTATGAAACCTATTACAATGCTTATGTCAAACCATGGGACCCCAGAACCAACTCTATCACATTCATCATTGGCAGCAGCTAAGGCGGACTCGTCACACTTTGCAAGAAGCGGAGGTCCACAGAGATACTGGTTCCGATAGTATGTTGAGACATTGAAAGTATCAAATTGGTTGCTAATGGGAATAGGTCCCGACAAATTGTTATCTAAAACATTAAAATAACTTAAGAATGTTAGGGATGAAATGCCGGAAGGGATGCCACCTGAAAGTGGATATTTCCTGCGAGGTGGTTCCGAGCTAGATTTAAAATGATCAAGCCCACCAAATTTGTTAATTCTTCAAGGATAGCTCCATATAAATTGTTGCATGAAATGTTTATTGATGCAACAAGGGAAAGAGTCCTGGTGTATGTGAGCATCTCCCCCTTTGTAGAAATGATGATCTTGTCATGGTAATAGTACTTGTAGGAACCTTCATGGAGGTGTGTTTGCTTATTTTTCATGGCAGTGAAGTTACCAAAAGTGTCAGGAATGTTGCCTGAAAATTTGTTTATGGCTAGGTCCAGTACCTGAAGAGAGCTTAATTGTGAAAACTCTTGAGGAATCATTCCTGTACACATGTTTGCTCGTAAGCGAAGAATACGGAGTTACGAAAGGCTTTCTCCAATCCAAGGAGGGATGTCTCCTGATAATTGGTTTTCACCAAAATCAATGATTTCTAAATTGGAACAGTTCTTCAAAGATGAAGGAATCTCACCAGAGAGCTTGTTGTCATTCAGACGGAATGTGAGAAGGTTCTCCAAATTCCCTAGAGACCATGGTATGTTTTCGAGTAGATTATTGTTGCTCAAGTCAAGAACTTCGAGCAATGAACAATTCCCCGAACTAGGAGGGATGATACCACTCAACCCATTACCATAAACATCAAGAATATACACATTACTTAAGTATCCTATAGAATTGGGGATGTTTCCCATGATGTGGTTATTAGAAATCATAAAGTAATTTAAAGTGGGTGGTAAAGAGGGCATGGTACCAGTTAAGTTATTCTCTGAAAGGTTGAAAATCGCTAGCTCACTCATGTTACCAACAGAAGCGGATGTGGACCCCGTTATAAGATTATTGGAAAGCGACAAGCGCATCATATTTGGCATGGAAGAGGGAATGTTGCCTGTGATATGATTATAGGAAGCATTGAGATATTGGAGACTCATCAAGGTGGATGGGATGGGTCCTGTGATATGGTTATTGCCAACCGATAAGAAGGTCAAATTTGGCATCGTTTTGCCAATATTTTGTGGGATGAAGCCGAAGAATTGGTTTTCTGATATGTACAACCCTGATAAATCAGGATAGTTGCCAAGATCCTCGGAAATGTTTCCATCAAGATAGTTTTTATTTAATGAAAGCCAAATCAAGCTCGTGCAATTCCGCAAGCTTTCTGGCAAAAGGCCCATGAAACTGTAGTAACTGGCATCGAAATACATCAACTTGTTGTTGTCACATACTCGGGAAGGTAGAGCACCATAGAAACTGTTACTTGAGAAATTGATGTCCTCCAATTGATTGGACTGCCCAAAATCCGCAGGAATTGCACCAGAAAAGTTGTTGTCATCAGTGAATAAGGTTACCAGGGGAAGGCCAGATATAGAGCTTGGTAATGAGCCCTTTCCGTGACAAAGTGAGAGATGTTAGTGATGCCAAGTTCTCGATCTAAGGAGGAAGAGTTCTAGTGAGCTGGTTATAGGCGAGGGACAAGTCGGTGAGTTTGGTCAGGTTCCGTACAGAAAGTCGGTGAGCTTGGTCAGGTTCCATACAGAAAGTCGGTGAGATGGTTCTCTGAGAGATCCAATGAAAACAGGTTCTTCATATATCCAATTTGAGGAGGAATACTTGAATTCAGACCACATGTTGAAAGACTGAGGATTGAAATGTTTCGGAGCATCCCTAGAGAGGATGGAATGGGTTCAGTTAATGAGTTAAAAGATAAAGCCAATGTTTTAAGATTGGGGATAAAGCCTAGCTCATCAGGGATGGAACCAGTAAATATATTGAAGCTGAGATCAAGATAGTTGAGCTCTATAAGGTTCATGAGGAATGCGGCCTCCAAAAGAATTGAATGAAAGGTCAAGATATGCAAGGCTTTTCCTGCTTGAAAACAGGGAATTGGGGATTGGAGTGGAGAATCCATTACGAAGCAAAGCCAAGTCAGTGAGGTTCGAAAGTGTACCAATAGTTGCAGGGATGGTTCCATCCAGATGGTTAAAGCTGAGATCGAGGGTGGCTAAACATGGTAATGATGGGAAGTCGAACTGATCAAGAGTGCCATTCAAATTAAAACGTACAAGGCTTACACCGGTTACTCTTGCTTGATCATTGCAATCAATACCGATCCAGCCGCGGTGGCTAGTCTTGTTGTTGGGGTTGAGTATCCATGAATTTAATGTTTGGTTTTTGAGACTAGCTTTCCATTTCAGCAATGCTCGAGCTTCGGATTCTGTATCTGATAATCCTGCATAAAGTTGAATCAAAAGACAAAAGAAATAGATTAAGAAAAGGAAGAAGAAGATCGGAAATCTCCCCACCATTTCTGTAGACTTCAAATTTCTTTTCATATAGCTTTCACAAGCACATCAGGATTTATAGACGTTGGCTGCAAAAGTTTGGACAGCCAAATTCTAAAAATCAATTTAAAAGTCAGCTTATTGATTGTCATTTTCCATAGATTGCAGTGGAATCTCTCTCTCTCTCTCTCTCTCTCTCTCTCTCTCTCTCTATCTGATCAAGTTGATCACATATAATATAAGCTCAAATCCTCTCGATCTGATCAAGTTGATCACATATAATATAAGCTCAAATATAAAACGATGGGAGGTCATGTTGCGGAGTAGGGGCAAGTCAAGGTCTAGCTTTTAAATACAGGACACTTCTTTATTGTGGCTAAATCTAAAAGATTCAAGTAATATTTACTCAAAATTCATCATAGTTATGTTCATGAATGATTCTAAGGTATGTACTCAAAATATTGATTTAAAAGTTACAGTTATAACCTGGATAGGAGACATTATAACTCAACTATATTCGAATTAGACTTTCGTCCAAACAAAAATAAACATGGGTACTTTATTAATGCTTTTTCTTGCAAAGTAATGAAATTTAGAATGAGAAAGCCAATAATTTCTTGGCAACACCTTCATATCCATGTGCCAATTTCACCTGCTTGCCTAAGGCACTAATTATTTCTTAATATTATAACATAATTTTCATTGTTCCTCATTTGACTGTACCAATTTCTTGAACCATTCTCTTTCTCTCCTTCTCGGCCAATTTCTTGGACTTTACTTGTTTCTCAAGCTCATCGGCCTGATAATACAAAACATGTTGACACATCTATTGAGCTGAATGTCAAACTTTGTTCTACATATAGAAAGCTCCTTCCTGATCCTATATTTACAGTCAGCTTGTTGGAAACTCGATTTATTTGACCATCTCTCGGCTAGACATTGTTTATACATTTCCTTTTGTCGATCAATTCTTAAGCACCCCTCGTTCTGTTCACTTAGCAGTTGTTTTACATATTATTTGATATATTTGAAATACTTGTGATCGTGCTCTCTTGTTCTCTTCGTCTTACACTCTCGGGGTTGAAGGCATGAGGGCAATGAGAGGAATAACAAATGGGTTTGGTACGTAAAAATGGTGGAAATGGAAATTCTTAAAGTGGGAGAAGGGTCTTTTATTAGGGCAGTAATAAGATATTAAAATAAATAACCGTGTGAAGTTGGGGACAAGGGGGTGGGAGGAAATAATTTGGAAACAAATAATGCTGATATTTAAGAGGGGATAGTATGAAATTAATCCTAATTTTAAGGGCTAATACTACATTTTCCCTCAGTAAAATATGAACAATTGTTTCATGCGGGTTGGACCACATTTGTACAATATGCGGTCCAGAGGTAAGCATTCATACTAAAAAGGGATGCAAATTGGTGGTCCATATAAAAACAATTGAAACTAATGATCTAAATTTTTTTTAATAGAATTATTATTTCTATTTTCAAATTTATTTATTTTTTCATATTTATGATCTCCATATTAAAGATTATATATTTTAATAGAATGATTATTTCTAGTTTTTTAAATTTTATTTAATTTTTCATATTCATGATCTCCTTGTTAGAGATTATATATTCTCTAAAAATTAGGATTGAATTTTTTTTAAAAAGATAAATTTATTAAGGGGCCCGCATTTCTACATGCGCAAGCTTGGCCGCATGCTAACCGCGTCCTTAAAATATATCATTATTGCATTTTATTTCAAAGGTGCATGTACAATAACAAAAAAACATGAATCCCTTTGTGCTCTCTACCTCTGCTTATGCTAACATAAAAGCAAATTATATACTTGTTTTCTCTGACAAAATGCAAAAAATTTTATCTGGATTTAGGGATATGCTTAAAATTACCTACGAGTCGTTTCAAGAAAATATTTTTTTGAGATTTTAAATATCGATATTTGACCATAAAACTTTGGATGATATGGTCAATCCTATAGCTTGATTTTTTTTAGACACTCCTTGAATGCACTTTGAAATGTCTTATAATTAGTTGCTAGTTGGGCAGGATATATGTCTAAAGTTCAGGTTCTAAAAAATTAGAAAAAGTTATAAATATTTAATACTCAAGATTCATGGGTTCTGAATATCAGATATTTATGTCATTAATTTCTCAAATTTACAAATTGGCGCTTCTTTTTTTTTTAACATAGACGTGTTCCTTTTTTAAAAAAAAATTATACTATGCTCCTCCCATTGGAGCATATGATCCTGAGCAGAAGAAAAGAAATTAAGAAAAGGACCCCCTTTCTATGTTGCTAAGGCCGCATAAGTTGAAATGCGGGCCTCTTGATAAATCTATTTTTGATATGGATTTTGCGACTAAATTTTTAAGGCTATGTAATCTCTAATATGGAGGTCATGAATATGAAAAAATAAATAAATTTTAAAAAATAGAAATAATAATTCTAGTAAGAAAATATTTAGACCCTTAGTTCCATTGTTTTTAGATGGAATTCCATTGTTTTTAGACGGAACACAGCATCCATCTTAAGATTGATGCTTTATACTTTCTGAACCGTATATGTAGAAATGTGGTCCAACCCGCATGAAACAATTTTCCTTAAGAAAAGAGTCATCTTCAAAATCTTCCTTATGGAAGGAGACTGTATCCCATCGAACACTCATAAAAAAACTAAAATTAAGTTGTTATATCAGTGTCACATATGGACCATTATGTGTTTAAGTGTTTATAGGCATTTAGGTGTTTAGTATGGAAGGTGAAAAAAGCATAATAATTTTATTTATTTTTTTAAATAGGAATTGAACTTGAGACATAACAACAAATCACTCAACACATTTGATTTGCTTGAAAATATTTTCTAAAAAACATTTTCATATGAAATAATTCTCTCATATGGTCTAATATGAGAAAAATTTTACATCAATTAGGTCAAGTATGAAAAAAAAACTACATCAATTAGTTGTCAATTAGTGTGAAAATATGTATGAAAATATTCTCCACCAATTGACATGAAAATATCATCATACTTTACCACATGAGAGAATTTTTTTATGTAAAATTATTTTTTAGAAAACATTTTCAACCTAACCAAATATGCCATTTAAGTCCGAGCCCATTTCCTACACGGTGTGTCACTCTCCCCTTCTCCACGATATAAATTCACCCTAACACTCGTGCAAGTAGATATGTAACATCGACAGCGAAAGAGGGTGATTTGCTTATGAGAGAGAAATGTGGTTAGCATGCCGCCAAGCTTGCACATGTAGAAATGCGGAGTTGATAATAAATATATATTTTAAATATAATTCGATCTTAAAATTTGGATAATATAAAATCTTTAACATAGAGATCATAAATATAATAAATAAATAAATTTTAAAAATTAAAAAATAATAATTATATGAAAAAAACATTTGGACCCTTAATTACCATTGTTTTTTTAGATGGAACATCTATATGCATCCATCTATATTTAAGGGGTGCGGTTTGTGTAGAGCATGGGCTCTAAACGATCAAATTAGAGCTTATTTTTAAATAGTATCGAAAAATCTCGTTTCAATACTGAAAATGTTTATGATAGCCTTAAAATATATTTTAGATTTTATTTATGAAGTTGAAAGTTTAAAAAATATTGTAAATCGATAGATCTATAAAAACTTAAAAATCTTGAAAATTGGCGATCCAAAAATGCGTTACAAAATATACTATTTTCAAAACTTGAAATCCATTTGTTTCTCATGTCCATGCATCTTGATGTCAAGATGATCAATTTGAGGGTATTAGAACATCAAAACAACCTCTTCTAGTGAAAATTTTGAAGTGGGCTCTAATTTGGTTGTTTAGAGCCTCGGCTCTATATAAACTTTTCCCCTATTTAAGACAGATACTTCGTACCTCCGCACGGCATGGTGTACAAATGCGGTCCAGCCCGCTTGAAACAAGTGTTCTTTCGTTGCAACGTCTGGAAGAGGGGGAGATGACATGATTTGGTGCCAACTTCTAGAGAGAGAAAGAAATGGCCTCTTGCAACAGGCCTTTACCACTCAGTAGACAGGCCACTTAAAACCTAGCAAGCCCTTGGGAGAGAGAGGGATGGCTTTTTGCAACATACATATGATCAGGCCTTTGCCATTTAGAAAACAGGTAACCTTAAGCCATAGCAAAGCCCTAAACCCTTAACTTTTGTGTTGTACCTTAAACCCTAGCGAAGCCCTAAAGTATGTTGGAGTGTATCTTCTGTTACTCTTGGATAACACAGGCCTTCAATTGAATAATGCTATAAGATACCCATAACTTATTTATTTTTTTCACACATTCTCATTTCAGGTTTGTAGTCTTTGTGAACTCCTAGAATTTTCACTGAGTGAAATTTAGATGCATTGGATATCTATTATTTTATTTTTTTTGTAGTTTTTCTTCCTGCTATAACAATAATTTGAGTCCTAGTTGGACGACATCTTCTGTAACTTGTAATTATTTATTAGTTCTTTGACATTTCCCTGTTATCTCAGCCATTTTCAGGAAATAGTTTCTCACTCTATATAAATCTCTTGTAAAATGAACAGGGATTACTGGAAATCTAGGAATTTCAAATGAACTTCTAAAAATTTGTTGGCAATTTCATTTTATTGGAAAACTGTTGGATAATTGTCACGCTATGTAAAATTTTGAATCTTTCTGGTCTTTGGATATCTAGTTTGGCTAGTTTCTTTGATTAGAATCCAACTTGTTTTTACATTATCATTCAAAGTAATTTAGATTAACTTTAGTGATTCTGAAAAGAAAGTTTGTGTTTGTGTTTGTATTTGTGGACCAGTGTCAAAGGAAATACTCTTTATTTATTTGTGTAAAATAGGGTTACTCATGAACTTTGAAATAGTTTTGGGATTTTGATCTTTTTGTGAGAGGTAAGGGAAGGAATTTTGATATTATTTCATATTTTTGGTCATTCAGTTTTATTGTGGTCCTAATAAAAAAATTGTTTATCTCTCTGAAACTGCCGGATTATATTTTCTCAAATTATGCTTCACAACACAAGGTACTCAAATTGAAAACTATGATATTTTCTGTTATGAAAGGAAATAAAACATTGTGGCTCTCACTCATTTTATTTTACTCTCTATGTTCTTTTTAATCATGTGTTGAGTCTTTGATTTATAACCTTGCTCAGTATTTATTTTGATTAGGATTTCTCGTTCCTTAGCACATATCAGTTGATTTCCAAAACATACTAGATTATTTCTTTGCTTTGTTTTAGTCAGCATTCCATGAGACTCAGGTCCACTCAGACTCGGTTGTGTTACTCGGCCTTGCCCAAACTCACTCTACGGACGAGACCGAGCAGGGTGGGTTGAAGGCAACTCGCCCCGCCCTTATAAAGCCCTTAAAAAAAATAAAAAAATGCAAAGAAAGGGGAAAATCCAATATCTTAGTTAGAAATGAGTTTTTTTATAGTTCAGATAGTTTTTTGGATCATTTAGAAACTCTCAAAATTTTTTCCCTTATTTATAAACTTTTTCTGAAATATTCAAGTCCTAAATCATAGAATGATGGCAACATGCCCATACGATGACTATAGTTGAGATGAGAATACTGAGATTGATGAATTGCAAGACAAGAAATGATAGAATTCGGAATGAATACATTCGAGGGAACGTAGGGATGGCTCCAATAAGTGACAAGATGAGGGAAAGTAGACTTAGATGGGCTGGCCATGTGCAACGCAGACCCAATACAACACCGGTTAGGAGGTGTTATCTAGTGCAATTGGAAAACTCTAAGAAGGCAAAGGGAATGCCAAATGGGCATAGATGGAAGTAGTGAGAAACGATATGGCCACTTATGGTCTTACTGAAGGTATGGCCATGGATAAAGCAAAATGGAGGAGCAGGATTGGGGTAAGGCTTTGATGATGATATGAGGATATGATTCAAGTTCTAAATAAAAGAATTTCATCATCTTCTATAGATTTTTTTTCATCTTTATAATTTTCTAATGGTTTATGTTGTCCATTTTAGATTTTTTTTCTTATTTTAACTATTTTTAGAATTTCTTTTACGCTTTTTTTCATTATTTTGTGTTGTGTGTAACTCGGCAAGTTACTCGGCTTGGTCAAGGCCCAAGTACCTTGGTGGAGTCGATTTCAAAGTACTGGTTTTAGTTATTTTCTAAGGAAAATTACATTGATGAAATGAAGTTCCATACTTCCAATAGTTAGATTCTATTACAGAAAACCTAAAATTTTGAAACTTGAGTTATTTCTCTAGTAATTTAGTAGTTGTTGTGGTAGAATTGTTAAAGTCCAATTCGTTGGTCCAACTTTCCATTTGGAAGGTTTTAGTTTGAAAACCTTTGGTGATACTAGAGAAACGTGATGAACTCTTTTTCAATGTGGGCAAATGTCCTTTGATTTCTTTTTTGGATAAGTACATAAATGGGTGAATATTGTGATGGAGCTGATGGTTTAGAGGTTTGTATGCTGAAAATGGTGTTTTATGATGCTTATATTAATTAGAATGGTGACCCTTGAAATATGGCAGCTTAAGATACTTGAATATCATTCCTTGAGATGTTTTATATACACAATTTGCTGCATTTTTGAAATAGGTACTTGCTCAGGTTTCTTGATATATTAAATCTTCTTTGATCATATGAGAAGGTGAAGAAGTTATTAGTCTTCTAAATGTGTATCAATTGGGATGGGTTTTCCTCAAAATATATATTGGCTAGAACTTGCATAACATTTAGTGGTGATCATTTGATGGAAAAACATAGACTGTGTTGTACAATATCAATTGTGATATTTTTTGTTGTACTAAGGGGCTGTCATCAACAAATGTAGGGATCATCGACATTAGCCTCTCTCTCTCTCTC